GTGTGCCTGTGTTTTTATTTCTCTGATTCCCTGAAACTTTGGCCAATTGTTCCTTTCTCTGCCAGCAGCATGCCAGGATCCTTGAGGTGGATCTCAGCAATGTGCTGGACATGCAGCATCCCTGATTCCCCACTGGTTTGCTTTGTTCTGGGTTCCAGTGCCAGCTACAACCTCCTGGTACCTTCCAGCTGGGGAAGGAGCCACTCTCCAGGGTAACACAGAGGGCTGGTGATGCTTTGCTGGCAGTGAGGAGCTGAGCTGGGCTGGAATTAGCAGCCTCTCTTTTCCCTCCAAGTCCAGAGTAGTTCTCTCTGTGTTTAGTTGGTTCTGCTTTATGGGCTTTGATTCGGTATGAAACAGTTGCTTGTGCTGCCCAGGAGAAAAGGCCTGTATAAATGGGAATTGTTGTGTGTCCTGAGTGCCACAAGTGTAAGGCAAGTCCTCAGCCTCCCCAGGAGGAGCTGCTTTGATATTTGGAGATGCTGCTCTGGTCTTTGTGTTCACAGCTGCAGGAACTGTAAAGATGAAACTGTGAGCTGAGAACCTGAGCCCCTGTGCAGATCTTGTTTTGGGGCTGCCTCTTGGTGCACCTACTCAAGGAATCCCAGAAGAGTTAAAAGGAACTCTAAATCCCATCCAGTGCCACCCCTGCCATGGCAGGGACACCTTCCCCTGTCCCAGGCTGCTCCAGCCTGGCCTTGGGCACTGCCAGGGATGCAGGGGCAGCCCCAGCTGCTCTGGGCACCCTGTGCCAGGGCCTGCCCACCCTGCCAGGGAACAATTCCTCATTCCCAATATCCCATCCAGCCCTGCCCTCTGGCACTGGGAAGCCATTCCCTGTGTTCTGTCCCTCCATCCCTTGTCCAAAATCTCTCTCCATCTTTCCCATCAGCTCCTTCAGGCCCCAGTTCGGTGACCCCAGAGCTTCTCCTCTCCAGGTGAGCAGCCCCAGCTGTGCCAGCCTTTCCTCCCAGCAGAGCTGCTCCATCCCTCTGCCCATCCTGGTGCCTGCCCTGGGCTCTCTGCAGCAGCTCCAGGTCCCTCCTGTGCTGGCCCCAGGGCTGGGGCAGCTCTGCAGGTGGGGTCTCACCTGAGCCCAGGGCACAGGGGCAGAATCCCCCCCTCCCCTGCTGCCCACGCTGGGGCTCAGCCCAGGGCACGGGGGGGTTCTGGCTCCCAGCTCTGCCCCCAGCACCCCCAGGGCCTTCCCCAGGGCTGCTCTCAGACACTTCCCAGCCCATCCTTTTGTGTTACACTAGAATCCAGCTTGGTAGCCACAAGGGGAACAGTCCATAAAAACCTTCCCAAGCTCCTGGATGGAACCATGGTGTGGCTTAGGGCCACAGACCCTGGCAGAAAATGCACCTGCTTGGGGCAGGGACTGGGCCAGCTGACCCCCAGAGTTCCTTGCAACATGGGGCACCTGGGTTTGGTGACACCAGGCTAGCACAGGGACAACACCTATGGCAAGAAGCCAGAACCCTGGATGGCCTTAAATCCCTGTGAGCCAGTGCTTGCAGGGAGTCAGTTTAAAACTGCACTGGTGCCTTTTTTTGTTTGTTTGTTTGTTTTGTTTTGTTTTTTTGGTTTTGGGGTTTTTTTTGCTGTGTGAAGAGACCCTGAGTGCCCTGGCCCCAGCTGTGCCAGCTGCCACCACATTAGAGCCCAGCTGGGCTCTCCCTGTCCCTGCTCTGCCCCCAGTGTATTTGCAAAGAGAGGAGAAGGAGGAGGAGGAGGTGTGCTAAACTGAGAAGCAGCAAGGCAAATGCACTGACAGTTAGAGAGAAACATGTTTTATTAGGAGTTTTTGGACAAAACCATGGGTATTGCATGGAGTCTTCCCTATCCCTCCTCTTTAGGGTGAAATATTGAGAATTTTAAGATCAATTTTGTACTTCCCTCTATTGCTGATGGCTCTCACTTGGCCTCTTTTTGCCAAACCACCTCCAGCTGTGGGAACAGGGAATGTTGGAGATTTAAAGAAATCAAAATTTTAATTTCTCTTGTGCCTTCAAATAAAAAACTTGAGTATTTCTGTTGGTTTACACCAGCAAGAAGTAGTTACCTGCTAAGTTAATGAAGATTTTGGCCTGTAAACCTAAGTGATATCCATGTCTGACTCTTCTTGCTTTGTTCTAACAGAGGATAATCATCCTCTGGTTTTTAGAGAGAGCATTTGTGGGGCTGAGGGCTTTTTTAAAGCATTCATCCCAGTGGTGATGTTTGAGAAAAAGAAAAAAAAAGGCAGAAGGGAAGCGAAAATCGAGGGAGATGGAGACTGTAAGGGACCTTTATGGAATGGGAGTGATGAAACCCCTCCTGCCTGGCCTGTTCACTTGTCTGTGACCCCTGTGTCACATTGAGAAAGCAGAAATGGAGCCAAACCATGGCCAAGGTGAGTGAGCAAGGGCTGGGAGCTGAGTCTGGGCCTCAGGAGTGAGACAGGGCACAGGTCAGGTGTTGCTGCTGGGCTGGGGGGTGCCCTGTCAGTGCTGTGACATTGTGGCACTGTGCCTTACACTGCTCCTGGGTTCCTGGGGGTATCACACATCACATCCAGGCTGGGAGAGGGACTGGCTGAAGGCTCAGGGGATCCCAGCCTGCCTGAGCCTGGCATGGGCCTCTGCAAGGTCACCTTGGCAGGCAGGGTCACCCAGGGCTGCTTGTCCAGGGCCATTTGCCAGACTCTGCCCGTGTCTCTGCCACTGAGGAGTGCAGAACTTCAGGAATGCTGTCACCTGTGCTGAGTAGAGGGGAAGGATCACTCTTGTCATGCAGCTGGTGGCTTTTTGTGCTGGCTCTTGGGAGTTGTTGTCATCTGTCCTGCTTGGCAGAGCTGTCCCCAGCCTGTGCTGGCTCCTGGGGTCACTCTCCCCCTGGTGATGTTTTGTTTGAACACTTTGAGGCTCTTGCCTGCCCTTTGCTCCAGCCTTTTAGAGTTGATCCAAGTGGCAGTGTGACCCTCTGGTGTACTGGCCACTCACCCCAGTTATTGTGTCACCAGCAAAGTGCTGAGGGCACACTCTGTGCATCCTCCAGATCAGTAGAAGAGGTTAAAGGATTTTGGCTCTCATATCAGCCTGTGGAAAGTGTCTGTCCTCCAACTGGACTTTGTGGCACTGACCTCTCCCTACTGGGCCACTTTTCCACCCACCTCCCTGCCCTCCTGGCTGCTCCACACTTTGCCAGCTCATCTGAGGGTGTGAGAAGAGCCAGGGTTGAAAGTCTTGCCAAAGCCAAGACAGACAGCATCCTCTGCACTCCCTCCATCCACCGAGATTGTTTCATCCGAGGAGGAGGTCAGGCTGGTGAAACAGGATTTTCTCCCTTTGTATGTCCATGCTGGCTCTCCTGATCACCCTCTTGTCCTTCAGGTCACTGGAGATGGTTTCCAAAGTTCACCAAGTGTGGCCTCACAGTGACAGCAGCCAGCTCCCTCAGCACTTGTGAATCCATCCCATCAGGTCCCATGGGATGAATATGTCCAGCCTATGTCCCCTAACCTGATCCTTTTCCACTAAGGATGAGTCTTCCTTGTCTGGATTTCCCCTTTGGCCTCAGGGACCTGCAGTTCTTGAAGGTTGGCCTCACTGGCACCCTTCACACCCCTTGTCAGATTCCATTTCAGATGTGTTCTGGCTCTCTTAGCCCCACCTCTGACCCATCAGTGCTCCCAGATCCCTCCTGCAGGATCAATGTTCCCAGATTGCTCCTGGATCACCTGCAGGATCAATGTTCCAGATCCCTCCTGGCTCACCTGCAGGATCAATGTTCCCAGATTCCTCCTGGCTCACCTGCAGGATCAATGTTCCCAGATTCCTCCTGGCTCACCTGCAGGATCAATGTTCCAGATTCCTCCTGGATCACCTGCAGGATCAGTGTTCCCAGATTGCTCCTGGATCACCTGCAGGATCAATGTTCCCAGATTCCTCCTGGCTCACCTGCAGGATCAATGTCCCAGATTCCTCCTGGATCACCTGCAGGATCAATGTCCCAGATTCCTCCTGGATCACCTGCAGGATCAATGTTCCCAGATTCCTCCTGGATCACCTGCAGGATCAATGTCCCAGATTGCTCCTGGCTCACCTGCAGGATCAATGTCCCAGATTCATCCTGGATCACCTGCCCCTGCCCTGCTCTTTGCACTTGGCTCTGATCAGGAGCTCTGTGCTCCTCCATGGGGGCCTCCTGCCCACTCAGCTGGATCAGCTGCTTGTTGGGATGGTCTGTCCTTCAGCCTGGAGGAGATGATCAACCAGCTCTTTTGGGTCCCTTTTTCTTTTTATCAACCAGCTCTTTGGGTCCCTTTTTCTTTTTATCAACCAGCTCTTTTGGGCCCCTTTTTGTCAACCAGCTCTTTTGGGTCCCTTTCCTCTCCAAGCCCCTGGGGTTCTCCAGGCATACCCCTGAAGATGATGCCTGTTCTCCTCAAGTCCAGGGCTGTGGTGCAGCATTGTCCCTCAGCTCCTTCCTTTGAAGGCTCTGAGCTCCATGGTCAGTGCAGCCAGAAATGCCCAGACCTTCACACCCCTGACCAGTTCTTGCCTCTGTGTAAGGATGAGCTCCACTCCCAGGGGCAGAGGAGAGAGATGAGATGCATGAGATGAGATCCAGCATCCCAGGGTGTTCCAAGCCCCATCCAACCTGTCCATGGCCACTTCCAGGGATGCAGGGGCATCCCCAGCTTCTCTGGGCAATGGCCCCTGGAGCTCTGCAGGCTCTCCTGCGTGCCCAGCTGGGTGGGTGGGTGCAGGTGGCTTTGCTGGTGTTTATTTGGACGTGCAGCCGTGTGTGTGAGCTCCAGGGTGGCAGCAGAAATAGCACAGCTCCTGGCAGAGCCCGGGATATGTGAGAACCTCCCTCTCTGGCTGCATGCGTGCAATATTGCTCTTGGCTCCTTCAGCCTGGCTGTGGTGTCCGAGTCGAGGCTGTGTGTGTAGCTTGAGGAAAAGAAAAGCTTTCTTTCTGTCTGATATTCTCCCCTCCTTGCGTGTTTGCAGTCTCTCCAGAAGGGCCGTGCTTCTCCCTCCTTCTCCTCTGCCTATTTATATCCGCCGTGACGTTGCAGGAGTGTTTGCTTTGGAAGAAATCTCTCCGTCTGTCTGAGCCAAACTGAAAGCAAAGCCGCAGGAGAAAGCATTCCGAGCTGCAGAGAAAGCAAAGCATTCCTTTCTTCTCCTGCTGGGGAGAAGGGAGGCCTGGGGACTCGGAGGAAATGATCACCTGGCAAGGACAGGAAGCCTGGCAAGGTAAACGCCTTTTTCTGTTTGACTAATGCACCGACATCCACCCCCAAAAGCCCTGAACTTCTCATTCCGGGAGGTGGAGGCGTGAAACTCTGGGGTGGTTTTTAGAGAGGAGCTGTGAAATGAGTTGCCGAAAGCCTCCAGGCTCAGGACAATGGCTCTTTAATAATCCAGCGAGATTTGTCTCATCAGCACAGCATCACAGCTCAGGGATTGCTGTGCCCCCCTCATCGAGGGATGCACAGGGGCTTTTCCTTCTCCCCCCTGCTCCCCAAATACTGTGATTGCACCGTGGAAGTGATTTTCTTACAGTAAAGCTGAATTTTGCCTCATCTGTACCTTTCTAAGCCCTTCAGAACCCTGGCTCTGAAACTTCCCAAGCCTTTCTATTATTATTGTGCTGGGTCTGAATCTAAAATAAGAAATTTAGGTGCTAGTTTTATAAAGGTATAAACTGAATTGTCTGTATTGTGTTTATAGGGTAGTTTGCAAAATTAGAGCATTTACTTTTGGTAAAGGCCAAGGTTTTCTGACATCTGAAGCTGCATTTGCTACTTTTTGCTGCTGGTGAGCTGTAGCAGACACAGAAAGTAACACTGGAAGGTTTTGAAGTGCTCAGTATGAAGCTGAGCATGTTTGAGCCCTGGTTTTTTGCAGAAGTGCCAATCCCTCAGCAAATATAACAGTCCAGCATAAATAAACAGCCAAGAGAGAGAGAGTCTGCCTCTCTAGAAAGTTGAAGTATTTACCTTCACTGTTTTACTCCCTGTTAGATATTTTTAACTCCTAACCAAACTACATTTTTGTCACCTGTAATTGCAGGGGTAAAACCTCTGACAGTGATTTTTAGGAAACACAACAGGCAGTGGAAGTTCTTTGAAAATGTTCTGGATTGGAGCTCTTTGGTGTTGATGGAGGAGAAATGGGGCTGTTCTTGCTCTAGGAAATCGTGGGTGCAGCACAACAGTACCCAAGTGAGGTCAGCCTCTGGGAGTAGCTACAGGTCCTTAAAAATACCAGGGGTTTCTTTGACTGAGGGCATGGCAGGGATGGTGGTGTCCCCAGTTTGAGATACACACCTACCCCACATAACTCCTGTGAAATCAGCTCTGTGATACCTTGGGAATCCATTGGCAATAACCAGGAGGCAGCAGGGCATCACTGAATCATGGAATGGTTTGGGTTGGAAGGGACCTTAAATCCCATCCAGTGCCACCCCTGCCATGGCAGAGACACCTTCCACTGTCCCAGGCTGCTCCAGCCTGGCCTTGGGCACTGCCAGGGATGCAGGGGCAGCCCCAGCTGCTCTGGGCACCCTGTGCCAGGGCCTGCCCACCCTCACAGGGAACAATTCCTCATTCCCAATATCCCATCCAGCCCTGCCCTCTGGCACTGGGAGCCATTCCCTGTGTCCTGTCCCTCCATCCCCAGTCCCTCTCCAGCTCTCCTGGAGCCCCTTTAGGCCCTGGCAGGGGCTCTGAGCTCTCCCTGGAGCCTTTTCCTCCCCAGCTCTCCCAGCCTGGCTCCAGAGGGGCTCCAGCCCTTGGAGCATCTCCATGGCCTCCTCTGGACTCACTCCAGCAGCTCCAGACCCTTCTCCTGTCAGTGTCCAGCAGAGTGAAGCCCCTTGTGTGTGCTCCTGGAGAGGGGTTTTTGGTGTTCTGGGGTTTGAAAACAGGAACATAATCTGTGTGTTGTGACTGGTGTCAAGAACAGAAATGCAAGTGCCAGCACAGTAAATGCCAGCCAAAATAGGCATGATGAATGCCAGGGGAAAGGTATTTGGCCATGCCTTGATTTAGCTGCTCTGTGTGTGCTGCAGCATAATATGTTTATTTAAGTTTAGTTTAATTAGTGTGTGATTATGGGGATTTTTGAAGGAGTTTTGAATGAGTTAGAGATGGGACTTTGGAGTTGGTTTTGATGATGTGGTTTATTTTTTTATCTTTTTTTATAGGTAGGAAGGATGAGTTTGGTTCATATTGTTACAGTATGGTGTAGAAGGTCACAAGACTTTTAGTTACAAGATTTTTTAGGAGTTATTTACTAATGAAACACTGTTAATAAGGATATTTATGTTTTTGACTTAATTTTTAAATATTTTGTCTTATGGGTTTATGTTATAGTATAAGTTTTTTCAGTTAATTATGTTATAACACACAAACTTGCAGTACTATATTTTAATCTCTTTATTTACTTTTGTAACTACTGTATTTTTTTATATTTTAAATTCTAAAACTCTTTTTCTAAACTTAATTTTACATGCTTCTCCTTTAAACTATAAATCTACATTTTTACTTCTAGTACTTAAGTTCAAAAGCCTTTCCCAAGATCTCAAATCAAATCCTATATTTAATTCTAAACAATTCTTTAACTTACAAAATTCTTTAGCTTACAAACCCAAAGTTCTAAAAGCTCCTTACATTTCAAATTCCAACACATGATGAAGCCCAGACAGAGCAGGTGCCCAGAGCAGCTGTGGCTGCCCCTGCATCCCTGAAGTGCCCAAGGCCAGGCTGGACTTTGGGGCTTGGAGCAGCCTGGGATGGTGGAAAGTGTCCCTGCCATGGCAGGGGTGGAATGGGATGAGCTTTAAGGTCCCTCCCAATCCAAACCATTCCATGATTTTATGCTTTTTGTGGTCAAAGCTGCTGAGACTTGGCTTTGGTGGGAGCAGGATGAAGTTCCTTCAGTTCCCTGTTCAAGTTCCTGTTTGGAATTGTAGTGAGAGACACATAATTCAAGTGTTTGTAGGAAAGTGTCCCTGTAAGAAATACGAGTTGGGATTTCATTGAATGCTGATTTTTTTAGGACATATATCCCAGAAAGCAGAATTTTAATGGTCCTGGTAGGAGGACCAGGCTGTTATTTTTCATGCTTACACAGAGCTTGAACATTTTTTAAGAATAAATTGGACTGAAGGTCAAAGTTATAAAAATAAGGTCTAGCAGGCCAAATTTTTATTGCATTTTGATCATTGGTGGAGATAAAAGTACAGTTAGATTTTATCTGAGTGACACCAAAACAGCCTTTGCTTGTGGTGGCATTGCTGCCTATTCCCTTTTTTGTAGGATGAGATAAGGGGACATATAAACACACTTCCCCTGAAAACCTTTTAAGCCTTTGAGATTAATGGCTCTGGCTTCCTGAGCATAATCTGTTCTTTGCAGCTCTTAATTAAGGTCATCCTGAGAACCCAGGTGAACTTGTGGCCGGGGGAGTTACAAGCAGGAGGATGAGAGCTGGAATGATGGGATTGCACAGCTCAGCCATGTTTGGAGCCCTGAAATGGGATCCTGGGAATACAACACCCTGCAGCCCTCACAACCAGCTCCTTATCGCTCCTGATGACTTGTTCCCTTTGCCCTTGGGGCAGAGGAAGTGTGTGTGTGACTATTGATCCACATCATGCTTATTAATGACAAAGGTATTGGATAGGTGGACATGTCAGGGCTGTTTAACCTTTGGATATTGACTGCCAGCTCCCTAGGGAGAGGGGACCTGGAGGCTGGGATGAATTGGGACCCGGAGGCTGGGATGAATTGGTGATGGGTGTTTGATCTTCACTCTCTTGGACTAGAGTGTCCCAGTGCTGGGTCTGCTGCCTGGCAGGAGCAGGAGGTGTAATCAGGTGTCTGAGATAACAAACATCTTGCTGAAGAGCCCCAGGAGTGGATTTCTGACTGCTTGGTGTGGCTGTGGCGTGCAAGCAAACACTCAGGATGTGGAGACAGGGTTGATTTATCTTTAACAGGAAAAAGCCCCCTCCACACCCACGAGCCCTGCTGTTGAACTTTAGCACCAAGCATCATCCTGTATTAACTCCTGCTTTGTTTTTGGGGTTGTGGCTGGGTTTATTTTTGGTTGCTTTGGGTTTGTTGTTTGGAAATGTTTATTTTGCTTGATGGTGTCTAAGGCCTTAACAAAGCCAGAGCATCTGATAGTTCCAAACTGCTGCTATAGAAACCAGTAGCCTTGTCCCAAGGTTTGGGGCAAACAGCAAACTCTTTAGATGGAAAAATGAGTGGGACACCAGTCTATGTCCCATTAGACTGTTTGGTGAGGAAACTCTCTGTAACAGAGGCCTTTGGGTTGAAATTTTGGGTTTGGAAGAGACAGAAGCAAATTGGAATTTTGAGGCGGTGGCTTTTTTAACCAGAGGTTTTTAACACACCTGGGTGGTGAGATTTCTGGGAGGGCAGAATAAGTGGATCAGGGAATAGGAGTGGCACTTCCCAAGCTGGAAGTGCTGGATGTGGGATGCAGTCACGTGGGAATGATGCCCACGTAAAAATGTCCTTATTGTTGAGTGGGGGGTTTGAAAAGGGTGTCTCCTTTCTATTTTTCTCTTTTTTGGAAAGCTTCACTCTTCCAGGCTCAAAAGGGACCTCAGTAGTATTAAATTCTTGCTTTGACCTGGGTTTGTGATTGCACATACCCTGGATGGAATTGCCATTCCAGAGTGTTTTCCCTGGAGAGGTGCTGGGTGTTCAGCTCTGCAGAGCCACCCCTGGGACAGTCCATGTGTTTCTCCAAGGATCTAAAGGTCAGCCACAGCCTTGAACCAAAAAGAACAGAAGGCTGGGCACCTGGGCAGCACCCCTGATGAGCAGAGTGAGGGTTTTATCCATTTAGATTAGATGAGAGCTCCAGGAGCTGCTTGGATGATGGGTGGCATGGAGTGAAGACACCTCATTGGGAGGTCCCGTATCCTGGTGGTCCTCAGGGGTTTGGGATCCCACTGCTGCTCCTGCCATCCCTTTCAGAGTGACACAGGGAAGGTGTGTGATCCCTCAGAGCTGTGCCAGTGTGTCCAGGGCTTTGTAGGGTTTGAGTGGACTGGGAGTGCCCAGCTCAGCCAGGCAGAGCATCCCGGGTTGCAAAACTGATGCTGTGAGGGCAAAGGACAACCACGTGTCCAAACACAGCAGCACGAGGTGTTTCTTCACTCCCTGCTGAACCGGGAGCAGGAGGAGCTTCCAGCTGATTTTCCAGACGATTCTGGTTTGCTGCCAGGGTTTAAAATACACCTTCCCTCTTGCATACGTGCTGGAGCACATGATGCTGAAATTGGAGGAATTCTGCTCAGGGAACTCAGTTCAACTTGCAGGCAAGGCTGAGCTTTTTTTAGGGAGAGAGGGAGCAGGGTGGTTTCCTGCGGACGTTGCTCTGTGAGTCACACGTTACATGACACAGCATTCCTCCCGGGAAACTTCATTGCTGGAACTGATGAGCACATCAGCGCTCTGGAATCTCCCTTTGTCTTAGCAAACACACCTAAGCACTTCACCTGCTGCTTCTGGAAGTTGTTCTGATAGTACTTCTGAGATTTTAAACTCAGCTGTTTCAGAGTTTTTAGTTTCTCTCAGAACCCCATTAATATCAATATTTTTAGTTTCAAAAGTAGCTGTCCATTAAGAGCCTTCTACATAAGAAGTTGTAATGGCTTTTAATGCTGTAACACAGATGAAATAATAATTATTATTTAATTACACGTGTAATAATGAAGTTTCACATTACTACTCTAAGTGTTTTAATGCAAACACTTTTAAGGTCAGAGTAGCTTTATAATTCTCCTGTAGCACATTTTTTTTGAAGTGTCAGTGACCAGGACAAGTTACTTGAATGGACAGACAAAAAAAATGCTTTGAAGATTTTTTTTGGTATATGTGAGGTGGATGTATAGATTTACATTGCTGATGTGAAGCCCTGTGAACACATCACACAGGCACAGTGCTGGGCTGGCCCTGCTGCTCAGGGACCTCCAGGGCTGGGTCCAGTTCTGGGTCCCCAAACATGGAGGGGCTGGAGCCCCAGGAGGGGCTGAGGGAGCTGGGCAGGGGCTGAGCCTGGAGCAAAGGAGGCTCAGGGGGCCCTTGTGGCTCTGCACAACTCCCTGCCAGGAGGGGACAGCCAGGGGGGGCCGGGCTGTGCTGCCAGGGAACAGGGACAGGACAAGGGCAAAGGGCCTCAAGCTGGGCCAGGGGAGGCTCAGCTTGGACAGCAGCAGCAATTTCTGCATGCAAAGGGTGCTCAGGCCTTGGCAGGGGCTGCCCAGGGAGCTTTGCAGTGCCCAGCCCTGCAGGTGTCCCAGCAAGGGCTGGAGGTGGCACTCAGTGCTCTGGGCTGGGGACAAGGTGGGCACTGGGCACAGCTGGCACTCCATGGGCTGGCAGGGATTTTCCAGCCTCAGGGACCCTGGGGTTCTGAGCAGTTTTTTCTCACTTGCCCTAGACTTTTGTTGCCACCCTCAACACCTGCTAATACACATTTTCTGATGGATAAGGTAAAAGGGGGCTCAACATAATCTGACTGTTTCTGGTGTTTAGGCAGATTTAAGCTGTCAGGGCAAGGAAAGCCTTTTCCCAGGCCTTTGGAAGGACATTCCAAATGCACGTGGTGCTTGAATGATCAACACACATCAGCACTGGAGCTGCCCTTTCTCCTCAGTGCCAGCAGTCAGCCTCAAATCTGTTTTTTGTCACATTGCTCCTGTTTTGGTGGGAAAAAAACCAACATCTCTGTGGCCATCTCTGTTCTTCAGGCGTTTTTAGGGCGATTGTCACTCTCCTGTTGAAACAGGATGGGGAAAGGTAGAGGTGAAACAGCAACAGCCACTAAACTGAGGGCAGTAGTCCCAGATATCCAGTCCTATAGAAAGAAAATTATGTCATCAGCTCAGGCTGTCCTCTCTCTCAGCCCTTAGGCTAAATATGTCCTGGCTGCACTGTGTAGGGGAAAAAAACACCCTGCTTTGCACATCCAGTGGAAGAGTTGATTGTGTTTCTTTTTATTTGTTTAGGGCTTTGCAGGGTGTTATGTTGTATCTGTCTGGACAGATGCAGTATTTAAATGCACCACGGTTGAAAAGGTGTTCTCAAAGCTCACTTTTAATTACCTGTAATACTCGTCCAACTGTCTTCTGTTCTCCCTTCTGGCCCCACCTTACTCCTGGGAACACAGGGCTGCCTTTGTTATGTGCCTTGAGGTCACTGAACTCACACAGGCCTGGATCATGGGGGAAAGAAATATCACCAAGATAAGATCTGCTGGAGGAGCACAAGAGCATTTCTGTCAAATATGAACACATTTATTGTCTGGAGGGAGTTACTGAGTTGGCCTCTGGCCTCACCAGGTGACTTGTGCTGTCCTGAGAGGTGTGTGAGGGCCCAGAGTAGACACGAGTGTCCTCAGCATAACGAGGAGTCCTTCTTGGCCTGTGGCATCTTCCAATTAAGCTGTGGATTCCTCATATATATTCTCCGTGGGAGGGATTTACAGGATTGGTACTGACTGAATTATGTCTAAGGAATCTTTAGGTGATGAGCAATTACTGTTTTCACTCCAGAATCCCTCCTGGAAAGGGGGACCAGGTTGGGCAGATGACATCTGTTGAGTGTTACAGAGCCCAGTCACTAAAAGACTGCTGGGAAACAAAAACCGAGCTCACTGGTGCCTCATTCCATGTCTCAGATTTTAAATAAAATGGGCTGAGTTGAACTTGACCATAGGCCATTTTTAGGTGTCTAAACTTTGTGGAGGAGCTGATGGTGAGCACGTTGTTCCACTGGATATTTGGCTGTCTCTGTGTGTTAGGAAAAGGCACTGCTGGGCCATGTTCAGGGGTGTGGATCTACTAACAAACCCCAAAGCAGCTACTCCTTTAAAATACTTGTTTTCTGTGTGATAGGATGACTGTGGAAGGATTTCTGTCTGCAGCTTCTGAAAATTCTTTTTCCACCCTGTGGCTCTGCAGATTCCTCGGTATTCCTGGCAACAGGCTCCCTCTCTCGGGATGGAGCTCAGAAATGCTGCTATTTGTTACTGCTAGTGCCTATTTTTAAGTTTCCACATTATTTCATCTGTGGCGTGGAAGCAGGCTGCTTCCTACGCCTCTGACTTCACTCCTGGACAGTGTCTCTGTTGGATCCAGCAGGCTCGGGAGAGTCCGTGCTCTGCTGGAAAACACTGCCAGCACTGCTGCTCATCCCATCAGTGTTCCCAACATGACTCAGCCTGCTTTGTGTTGTGGTTTTGTACCGAATTACAGCAACTCCCCGCTGTCCCGAGGCGGCGGCCACAGGCATCCTCTGCTCCCTCTCACCTGAGATGCTGTCACCAGCCTTTCCCGCTGGATCCACGGGCAGGAGATCCTGTGTGCTTCCAGCCCTTGCTGTGGCCTTTGGGATACAGGCTGGATGCCAGCCCTCGAGGGGAAGGGTGGTGATCTGCCTGGCCAGGGACTCTGCTGCTGGTGGAGCCAAAAATTCATGGAAAGCTTGGGGAATTGGTTGTTGCTTTGTGTTAGTGTGGTGGAACACGACTTTTCTTTTTGGTGGAGCGGTTTTTGTTTTTTTTTTTTTCATTTCTAGGGTAGGATTTAACATCTGGTACCGATATATACTGGAAAAAGGAATCCTTCCTCCCTGCTTTAAAGTGACACTTTATGAAAGCGTTCCGTGCGCACAGTAGGAATCACCAGCCCGAACACGGGTGATGTCCCCATTTCCCCGTGTTTCAGGCGCTCTTTGCCGGTAGGGCAGCACTGCCGGGATCTGTTGCACCACCCCCGGCCGGGCTGGCACTCCCGGCCTCCTCCTCCTCTTCCTCCTCCTCCTGCTCTCGCCGCTGCTCTGGCCGTTGTTCCTCCTGTGGCGGGCGCTCCGTCCCCTCCTCTCCCGGTGCTGACGCACTGGCGCGCCCGCGGGAGGAGCGGCGGCAGCGCTGCCGCTCCATCCCCTCTGGATCTCCGCTCACCTCTCCGCCTTTCCCTCCGCAGGAGCTTCCCGCGGGGCTGGCGAGCAGCTGGCAGAGGAGCACTGAGGAAGCCCAGCCCGGGGGAAGTTGAAAGGCGAACTTTGAAGGCGAAGGAAGTCGGGGCTCCGCGCTCCGGGAGTGGCCGCGCCGCCGCCGTGTCCCCGTCCTGCTGCCGGGAGCGGCTGCGGCTGGAAGGGGAGAAGCCGCGTTTTCTGCTGCTCTCTGCCGCCTCATTTCCAGCAGTGAGTAGCTCTTTCCTCTCCGCATGGTCCCGTTTGAGTGTAAAGGGGGTGTTTGGCTGTGCTGGACGGCCGGAGGCTGCGTTTGGGGAGACACAGAGGGGCTTAGATACAGCCAGGTGTACAGCACAGCTATGGGGAGTTGGTTGTCTTTTTGCTTGGGTGACTTTTTTGAAAGTGGCGCTTAAACTTGTGGTTACTTTGTTGTTCGCTGCTTGGTTTTAGTCTTAGTTTTTAGTTTAGCTTGAGGTCTTTTTTACTAGAAACCAGCCAGCCTGTGGGACAGCAGTGACCTGCCCATGGCTGGTCCCCTAGGTTGTGACAGGGTTGTGTTTCCATCAGGCAGCTTCATCTCCTGCCGGGCCATGGAATCTCCCCCTGGTTTCTAGGTTTGGATGTTTGTTTGCAGCGCGCCTGTGGCAGAGAACCAGAGTTACACAGCGTGACAACGGCACAAACTAAAAGCCAGGGACAATCTGCTGTCCCCTTTGGCACCTCGGGCAGCTCTCCCCATGCCTGACCTCCCCCTTGACTGCTGCCAGATATCCCCAGGGCGGTTGTTTGCCGTGTTTCTAGGAAGGAGCAGGAGCAAGAAGGTGTTTTAGACTTTGTGTGGTGTTGTAGAGTGCCTGTGCCTGTGCCTGCTCCGTGTGTGTCACGGTGTCACCGCTGCCCCGCAGCACGAACACAGCTGTGAGTGTACAGCAGCGTGGCCTTGGGCGTGAACAGCCCGTGAGTCACTGGGAGAACACAGAAACCCTCTCGGAGGGCACAGGGGAGCAGAACTTTATCCCTGGATCCACTGCAGAGTCTTTCCAGGGGCTGTGATCCTATTTGTGTGTTTTGGGCATGGCCGCCTCTTCTGCTCATCCTAAACCTCTTTGAAACTCAATGCTTTAAGCTGGAAGCTTTTTAATAGATTTAGAGCGATGAGTCAAGGAGTTTGTTTTTTTTACTTGACTTCTGGGGAAGAAACTGAACCAAACTGCCTGCAGTGGCTGATCTGTGTGTATTTTTGATACATATATTTGTGTATATGAACACACAAGTGTACACACAGAGAAGAGCTACTCCAGGCGTTGGTTTTTAGGCTGTGTGTGTATAGATGGGCACGTGTATCTGTATAAAAAATGTGTTTTTATAGCAGGATGGTGTGAGCAAGCTGAGCAGAGCATTAATTTCTTCCTGCTCTGTCAAGTAATACCCTGCCTTATTCATTTGCCAGTTGATTTGGTTATGCAGACAAAGGCAGGAAAACAGACCATAACAAAACCACTCTTATCTAATCTGCTTAACAGCACTGTCAGGTAAATCATTAACCCACGGGCCTGGTGCCTGTAAAAGATGCTAAAGAGGTTTCCCTGAAATTCCCCTTTTCCAGAAGGTAAGAAATGAAATTAGTTGCAGATCTTGGTTTCACACGTGGGTGTTTGCTGCTGCCGTGGTTTCTGTGCCTGTTAACAAAGTGCTGTAGTCCAGTGGATTAATGATGGGAGAGGACCTGCTCACCCTGAGGTCTTTTTCCTAAGAGAGCAGCTCCAGCTAAGGCAGAGGGAAAACACAGCATTTACTTACTTGTAAACACTGTCATTCATTAATGAAATGTGATTTCACGTGGGTTTATGGCTGATGGAGTGTTTTGCTCAGCAGCTTCGTTTCCTGGCATCCTGTGATTCAAATCCCTTTGAGCTGGGAAGATTTGCTGTGGGTCTTGCTGTGCTTAATTCCACCCCAGACTTCTGTTCTGGTTGACTTTTGTTTCTGTAGGCATGTAAGTGATGGGTTTCTCTGGAGCATTTAATACTCAGAGTCTGTACAGTCCTGTCTGCAGTTGCTTTACATTTTGATTGATCATCTTGGCAGTGAGTTTGTTTTGTGTGAGTAACTTAAAGCATGGAAAATCTGTAGCACATGGACAACAGCAGAAGTAGTTCCATTTGTGATCTTTGCAGCCGTGTCCTGAACAAAAGAAAAAGGGTTCAAGAAGGGCTTAAGCTGTTCTAGCTGCCCATGTCCAAGAGCATGACTCAAAACTTCCAGCTAAACTCCTCTAAGCTCCCTGAGTCGGTGTTGGAGTTGTGCCTTCCCCCCTTAGTCGGGTCTGTTTCAAGTGCCAAACTCTCAGCCTGGCTGCCTTCTGCCAAAGGTCTGCCTGGTCCTACCAGGGCATTATCAGGCATCTCCAGGGAGAAAATGAATCCAGTTGTGAGGGCACAGCTCAGAAAGCTGGACCCCACTTTCAGTGCTAGCCCATGCCCCAAGTGCTGTGTGCCCAAATTGAGCACAGCTCAGCACCCTGCACAGCCTGTGCTCTGTGTGCCCACCTTTCCAGCTGCCTGGGAAAGCTCCAAACTGCTCCTGCTGCTCAGGAAAGTGCCCTTTTTGCTTGGTTAACTTTACAGCCTGGCTGCACATTAGCTTTTTAAAGCTGAGCTTTTTAAAGCTGCTCTCCCATGTGAGGAGAGAACTCAGGGGTTGCTGTGTGTCTGACACCTGGGGGAGGAGATATCCAAACCTGGAGGAGAAGGTGACTCCAGACCTTTCCCCAGGAGCTGGGAGCTTGTGGAAGGAGGTCTCTGTGCTGGGGACACCCCAGCAAGTGTTGCCAAGTGTTGTGTCAGGTGGTGATGCTGCCTTACAGAGGGCAGAGTGGTCCCTCCTCCCTGGGAGAGCCCAGTACAGGAGCAGATCCATGCTCTGGATCCTTGCTGGAGCCTTTCTCCTTTGAGTTTTTATGGACAAGAGGTGCTGAGTGGGATCTCAGCCAGTTCAGGTGAGCCACAGTCCTCTGGGTAACCAGATTGCCACACTCTGTGTGCAGTCAGAGCTGTTGTGGCCACAAGGGACAAGCAGAAGGAGCACACCTTGGCAATGTCCCTTGTGCACTCTCCTCTGGCCTGAGGATGGTTTTTTGCCAGGAAAATTGCCCTGATGGAGCACTCTGTTGTCTCCAGCTGCTTTCTGCAGCTGTCTGCATGGCAGAGGAGGTGGGGGAAATGACTCTGGTTAAAAATAGAAAGGTGGATTAGGAAATGTGAGCTATGGTTTCAGCATCCAGCAGGGCTGCTCTCACAACTCGCTGCTGCCACCGAAAGGGGAAGGACTCGCTCGTGCTCCTCGTCTGCAGAAAAGCAGGAAAAGAGCAGATTTTCTTGCAGAAGACCAGCAAAAGAGCAGGTTTTCCACCCAGGCACAGGAGAGGAGGAGGGGGATGCCTCTGAGGAAAGCTTGTTGAGCTCTGCTGGCACAGCTGACACAGTCCCAGGTTGCAGGGACTGGAATTCAGGTGAAGGTTCCCATTGGAAAGGTTGGGTTTAAGCTCATCTGGGTTAGTCTGCCCAAGTTAAGGACAAAGATTTTAGGAGATGTACTCTGCTCTTTGAATTGTTCTTATTCTGCTGTTTTATGAGGAGAGTTCTACTTGGGGGAAAAAAAAGCAAAACCAAAAAATTATGAGGGTGTGATTTCACTGAATGTGAATGTGTAATATGACACTCTCAGAAGAGACTTTATTTTGCAATAAGTGTGTGAAGTGTCAACAGACAAGCCAAGGGGAAATAACTCTGCTTTGGAAACTGTGGACCTTTAAAGTTGCTTTTAGGAATTGTTTGCTGTACAGTGTTTTGTCACCAGCCTTCAGTGTTTATCACTGTTCCTTGTGGTTATCACTGGTCCTTCTGATATATTTTCTGTTGCCTTTCCTAAAACAACTGAATTCCTAAAATTCAGTTAGGAAAAGCATTATTTTCTTTGGGAAAAGTTTTTTTCCTGGTGCCTTTTTTTTTCCTTTGGTTTTGAAGGTTTGAGTTTATTTTTATTTGCTTTTTAAAATATTTTTTAAAACTCTTTATCAGCTTTTAGAACAGTTTGAGTTCTCCTTGGTTCAGCTGCTGTTGTTGTAGCACTCCCAGCCACACACTGATAAACAGTGACCCAGCCTGTACAGTGTTGAGAAAGAAATATCCAGGGGCATTTCAGATATCCTAGATAGATCCTAAAACCCAGCATGGATCCTGTACCAAGCATTCCCTGCAAAGGATGTGGTGAAGGGACTGCAGCAGTTATTTATCATAGCTAAAGAATGTTTATCTAATACTTAGTTCAGAAAACCTGTCATGTTTCCTGGGCAAATACTTTGGAGACAAACAGCATTTATTCTTTTTGAGAAGCTGTGAATACAAGGTGGAATTCAGTATCAGTTTCCCTTTACCTGGAATTGTTCTGTCTTTTAAAAGTGAATTTAAGAACTGAAGTTTCACTTCAACCTCTGAAAGAGAATCTTGAAGACAAGCAGGTATTTTATTCAGTTAAGTTTCACAACACTTCAGCATGATTTCTCACAAATTACTGGGCTGCTTTTCATAACCAGGAGTAAAAATTCATTGGTCTCAGTGATAGATATAACACTGTTTTCTTGTAAATTTAAAATACCACTTCAGCAGTCAAGCAGGTTTTTCACCACTAAGAACATGGATGCTGTAATACTTGATTTATTTTTTAAAACAAGGAAGTTGAAGACATTTGACTCCAGTTTATTTTTATTGGAGAAGCTGATGCTTTGGGATTGTTGGGTATTAAGCATCAAGGGTGAGAAGGATTTAGTTAAAAAACCACCAGCAAGTGAGTTTTGGTGTAACTTTGATTTCAGTTTGATTTCAGTTTCATCTTCCCACCTTTCTGGGTTTTTTCCATATTATTTCAAACTCCTTTGGTGTTTTGCAATTTTCCCTTTTCATCTCAGCCACCTGCTTTGCTCTGGGGACATTGGTTTGGCTGTTCTAAACCAGTCACACCCCACCTAAATCCTGGCATTGTTCAGCCCTCTCAGAGTGTTTGGATGTTGTACTGAGGTTAAAGCAACAAAGAACAACCCCACAACAGCACAGGCTGGGGAGGGGCTGCTGGAGCAGCTCTGTGGGACAGACCTGGGGGACACCGAGCTGTCCCTGTGCCCTCAGAGTGTCCTGGGGACACCGAGCTGTCCCTGAGCCCTCAGAGTGTCC